GCTGTCTGCGCGGTCCACAGCGACGCACGCAGATCGATGCCTCCCGACAAGAGCAAGGAATGGTTCACCCAGCGCCTCTGGCAGGGCTGCGCAAGGTGGAACATACTGGAACAACGGGCGGCGCGGGTGGTTCTCTAGCTACGAGGGTGGCTACATGACGCGGGTCACACCACCGTGCGTCGGAATGAATTTAGTTACACAGGACTTCGAATTTGCAATTTCCACCGCAACGCGGGTCACACCACCACACGCCACGCAGAAAAGCATGAGTGCTTCAACGCACGCGCACCAACTCTGCGCTGTCTCTCCATCTCGATGTACGCCTCAAATAAGAAACAACTACAGTTAAGAAACGTCTTCGGAAACACATGACATCCATGGTCCGTAGAAAAGCTCTCCTCTTTTTTTGCCCATGCATCTCATGCCTACAGCACACCACCCACAGCTTTGCTTTTCTTCACCTCGTCGCATGCATGTTTGCTCAGCGCGGTCAACGAAGGCTGTGGTAGAGCAGTCCGCAACGACGTACTCCGTCACTGTTTACGAAAATCTGCGGCACACCCCCACAGGCAGCATAAAGGAGCCAAGCCTACGGCAAACGAAAGTACTGGCGGAGCAGCCCGCAACGGCATACTCCAGGACTATTTCTGAGAAGCTGTGCAGGCGAACGAAAGTTTTGGCGGAGCAGCCCGCAACGGCATACTCGGGGGTCTAACCTAAGCAGCATGTCCCAGCTGTCTGCGCGGTCCACAGCGACGCACGCAGATCGATGCCTCCCGGCCAGAGCAAGGAACGCAGGTCACACCAGCGCGCGTCGGAGTGAATGTAGTTACACAGGACTTCGAATTTGCAATTTCCACCGCGACGCGGGTCACACCACCACACGCCACGGACAGAAAAGCATGAGTGCTTCAACGCATGCGCACCAACTCTGCGCTGTCTCTCCATCTCGATGTACACTTCCAATAAGAAGCAACTACAATTAAGAAACGGCTTCGGAAACACATGACATCCATGGTCCGTAGGCAAGCTCTCCTCTCATCTCATGCCTACGGCGCAACACATGCCTACAGCGCAGCACCCCAGCCCACGGCTTTGCTTTTTTTCACTGCGCTGCCCATGTCGAAGCCACGTCGTATGTTTGCGAAGGCTGGTAGAGCAGTCCGCAACGACGTACTCCGTCACTGTTCACGAGAATCTGCGGCGCACCCCCGCAGGCAGCACGAAGGAGCCAAGCCTACGGCAAACGAGGTGCTGGCGGAGCAGCCCGCAACGGCATACTCCAGGACCACCCCCAACAAGCTGCGCAGGCGAACGAAAGTATTGGCGGAGCCGCCCACAACGGCACACTCCAGGACCATTTCTGAGCAGCCGTGCAGGCGTCCTCAAGGCAGCATCTGACCTAATAATCATCGAAGTAGCCATCGTCGTCGTAGAAATCAGCGGCGATTTCGTGCGCTCTGCGACGCGCGTCCTCCAAAGCCTTGTCTTCCAAGTATGCCTCAAAACCTGCCTTTTCCAACTCCTCTTCTTCGTGCAGCTCGGCATAATACGCATCTTCGTCAGCCGACAAACCGCCTGCATCACACTGCGGCTCCCTGGCCCCATCTCCCACATCCGGCAAGCTGGACGTCTTCGCGGTGGCACCGCGCATGGTCTTACGCTTGGTCCGGCCACCACCCCACCTGCTTTGCTAGCCATGCGGCGAACAGGCTTGTCCGTGTAACCTGGCTGAGGCAACACCCCTCGCAAAGACAGCATGTGGGTCAAATCAGCCACTTCCTCAGGACTCATCTGCGCACCCTTCAAGCTTTCAGACCAAGCACGATGACGTT